CTACGCTCCCCTCAACGGCTGTCTCCACGTCCTCAGGGTCTCCAGGGTCAGACACAAACCAACTGTCTCCGTCTGTCTCCGCCTGTCTCCTTCTGTCTCCTTTTGTCTCCTTTTGTTTTCTCCTTTTGTCTCCTTTTGTCTCCTTTTGTTTTCTCCATCTGTCTCCGCCTGTCTCCTGTCTTCCTTTGTCTCCTTCTGTCTCCTTTTGTCTCCTTTTGTTTTCTTCTTCTGTCTCCTGTCTCCTCTTGTTGTCTTCTTCTGTCTCCTTTTGTCTCCTTTTGTCTCCATCTGTCTCCTTTTTTGTCTCCTTTTGTCTCCTTTTGTCTCCTTTTGTGTCTCTGTGTCTCCTTTTGTTTTCATTTGCATTGACAAAGACAACTCCTACAGCTCCCTTTCTCTTACCTTCAGCTGTATCTGCCTTCGTTGCTGCTGCTGCTGCTGTTGCTGCTGCTGCTGCTGCTGCTGTTGCTGCTGCTGCTGCTGCTGCTGTATGCGTGCATGCATGTGTGGGGTGTCTGTGCAGGTGCAAGGTATGCTGGTTGTCTCTGAGGCGGCGGATGTGCTGCGGCTGCGCGTCGGCATCCACGAGCTCAGGGTCTTCGATGGCATGATACTTGCTGCATGCAACCACCAAGTATATTGCTGCTGCTGCTGCTGCTGCTGCTGCTGCTGCTGGTGCTGCTGCTGCTGGGGCTGCTGCTGCTGCTGCTGGGGCTGCTGCTGCTGCTGCTGGGGCTGCTGCTGGGGCTGCTGCTGGGGCTGCTGCTGCTGCTGCTGCATTTGGTCCCGCTGCTGGTGGTTGCTGGTGGCTGGGAGGAGTCGAGAGGCGTTGCTGTAGGCATCTGCATACGGGGCTGTGGTGCAGCAGCAGCAAACTCAACGCCTTAGGCAAAATACAGCTCCGCTGCGTCGCCCTTTTTGCTGCCAGCACTTTCATTGCTTCTATAGACGTTCTGTAAGCTCACACCAGCAGCAGCACCAGCAGCAGCAACTGCTGCAGCAACTGCTGCAGCAACAGCAGCAGCAGCAGCAACAGCAGCAGCAGTTGCTGCTGCTGCAGCAGCTGCTGCAGCATCAGGACGGGAGTATATATATCTATGCAGCAGCAAGGAGAACCTGTGTGTGTACAGCAGCGTGGCGTGTATTCTGCTGCTGCTGCTGCTACTGCTGCTGCTGCTGGTGCTGCTGCTGCTGCTGCTGCTGCTGCTGCTGCTGCTGCTGCTGTGTCTCTTTGTGTGTAGCGAGGACCGGCTGATATGTGTAGGAGACATGATGTCTTCGGCGTGCATCTTAGAGTGGAGACCCAAAGAAAAAACACTCAAAGAACTAGCCAGAGATATGCGCTGCGCATGGCCACTGTAACTTTAGTTTGCTGCTGCTGCTGCTGCTGCTGCTGCTGGTGGTGGTTGTTGTTGTTGTGCTGCTGCTGCTGGTGCTGCTGGTTGTTGTTGTGCTGATGCTGCTGCTGCTGGTTGTTGTTGTTGTGCTGCTGCTGCTGCTGCTGCTGCTGCTGGTTGTTGTTGTCGTGCTGCTGCTGCTGCTGGGGTGGTTGCTGTTGTTGTGCTGCTGTTGCTGCTGCTGCTGCTGTTGCTGCTTCTGTTGGGACCACTGCATAGCTTCGGGGCAAATTAAAGCCCTGCTGCTGCTGCTGCCGCTACTACTACTACTACTACTACTGCTGCTGCTGCTGCAACTACTACTACTACTACTACTGCTGCTACAACTGCTGCTGCTGCTGCTGCTGCTGCTACTGCTGCTGCTGCTGCTGCTGCTGCTGGTGTGTTCTCAGGGGCGTGTCTGTGCTGGACCCGAACACGTGCTTGATGTCTGACGGGGAGCAGAATTTGTGGGTGCTGCAGCGGGCGCTGCCAGAGGGGACAGTGAAGGGCCT